CGCTCTTCCTCGCCAAGCCCTTCCTCACCACCGTAACCCCCCCCCCCCCCCATCCCTTCCTTCGTGCTCGTCCTCGGCATCATCAGGTGGTGGACGATGGGGAGCTCTTTGAGGTGCAGGGCGGCTTTGCCAGGAACATCCTCATTGGGTTTGCGGTGAGTCAACTCTGGTCAATCCTAGTCAATGCCGGTCGGTCAATGCTGGTCATTGGTCAGTGCTGGTTAATGCTGGTCTTCTTGACCAATGTTTTTGTTTAATCTGTGTTGATCTAAGTAAGCTAGGATCAACAAAAGGCCCCTTCCATACACAATGAGACTCTTTTTTTTCCCTTGTAGTTTTATTTGTGCCGGTCAGTGCCGGTCAGTCAGTGCTGGTCAATGCCAGTCAATGCCGGGTCAATGCCGGGTCAATGCCGGCCAGTCAATGCGGGTCAATACCAATCAACTGCAGCTGATGCATATACTGTGATTGAGCACAACACGACGTCCCTGTTCACTTGTCTTCCTTCTTGGTTGATACTTCCACGTCTTCACCCCATCTTCAACCCGTCTTCAACCCATCTTTACCTCATCTTTACCCCATCTTTATTCCATCTCCTTCTCATTTTCCCCCCACCTCCCCCCATCCGTGCGCCATCAGAGGCTGGACGGGGGCACGGTGGGAGTGGTGGCGAATCAGCCCAAGGAGCAGGCGGGCTGCCTCGATATCAACGCCTCCATTAAGGTGAATCATGGATCACATGATTGCACTGTTACCATGTGTTACATCGTTACATGTTGACGCAAAGTGATGAATCAGCCCAAGGAGCAGGCGGGTTGCTTCGATATCATCGCCTCCATTAAGGCTGTCACGCGCATGGTTGCACTGTTACGGTGTGTTACAGCATTACGCGTTGAATCAAAGTGGTGAGTCAGCTCAAGGAACAGGCTGGGTGCCTCGATATCAACGCCTCTATCATGATCTCAACGCCTCTATCATGACCTCCCGTGTTGATGACACACACACATGTGCCTCAATCCACTATCTTGGCCCTGCACGCAATGTCATGGCATGTGTGACCAATTGCACTGCTATGCTATGTTACAACATCTTATGGCATGTTACCCCACATGGCATGGCATGGCATGGCATGGCATGGCTTGGCATGTTATCTTACATGGTATGGCATGGATGGCTTGGCATGTTACCCCACATGGCATGGCATGGCATGGTGGCACGGCTTGCTGCGGCATGGTGTGGTTTGATTGACACCACATGAGTGCAGGGAGCTCGGTTCGTGCGATTCTGCGATGCGTTCAACATCCCCATCCTCACCTTCGTCGACGTCCCTGGCTTCCTCCCAGGTATCGCTAGGCATGACATGAGCAAATGGCCCGGTCGGGCCAGCTTCCTCCCTGGTACCGTGCTTCCATTCCATGGTTCCATGCAACATCCATTCGAGTCGAAGTTGATTCAAGGTACCTGTTGCAACGTGTCAGGCACCTCTCATCCCTGCTGTCTGCATTGTTGTCAGGTACCGGTGTCTCGATGAAGAACGGCCCACATGAGTTGATTTGATGCTGCTTGTTCTTGCGGTTCATGCATGCATGTGCACTGCAAGTCCAGATGCGTTTTGAGTCGACTCAAAACACGGCTTGACTTCATGCATGAATTTATGTGTCCTGTGTGATCTGCTTTGTGCTGTGTGCTGTGTGTGTGCTATGTTGTGTGCTGTTGTGAGCAGGCACGGAGCAGGAGCACAACGGCATCATCAAGAAGGGGGGGAAGCTGCTGTTCGCCTATGCAGTGATCACGTGTTCTTTGAGCAATCATCCATGTCGGTGTGTCTTTCTGTATGCCACACATCTCTCTCTGCCCCTGCAGGCACGGAGCAGGAGCACAACGGCATTATCAGGCAGGGGGCGAAGCTGCTGTATGCCTACGCAGAGGCCACGGTGCCCAAGCTCACTGTCATCACTCGCAAGGCGTATGGGGGGGCGTATGATGGTGAGAGAAGCAGGAAGAGGCATATGAGGGGCATATGAGTGCGTGCGTGCGTGCATGCGTGCGCAAGTGTGTTTGCTATACGGTGTCCATGAGTGTGCATGGGGCTATACGGTGCGAGTGTTGTTTACTCACACATGCCGAGGCCACTATTCGCAAGCTCACTCTCATCACTCTCAAGGCGTAATGGGGAGCCGTGGCCTCTGCGTTAGGAAGTGTATTACGGTGAGTGAGGTGGGTGTGTTGAGGGTGTTGTGTGCCTGTTTGTGGTGGTGGATGGATGTGCTGCATGCATGCATGCATGCTCTGCCTCACCTCACTCACTGCCCAACCTCACTGCATGACCTCACTGCCCGACCCCACCGCACCCCACCCTATCCCACCCCACGCGGTGCAGTGATGAGCTCGAAGCACCTGAGGGGCGACGCCAACTACGCATGGCCTTCAGCAGAGATTGCAGTGATGGGAGCAAAGGTGCGATGCCCCTCAGTCTTGGGCGTGCGTGCGTGCGTGTGTTGTGTGTAAACTGTAAATCATTTTGCCTTTTTCTTTTCTTTTCTTTTCTTTTCTTTTCTTTTTTTTTTCCGGTTGTACAAATTGACACCAGCCAACTGTTTCGTACTTCTGCTTCCCCCTCCCATTCCATCTGTACCCTCCCTCAAGGAGCGGCAGAGATCCTGCACTGCACAGGGCGTGGGCTTGGAGAGGCTGACAGCGGAGTACACACGAAAGTAGGGAGCTGAATTGATGTGTGCCCCTATCTGCCTCTCACCCCCCAGGGCGCGGCAGTGATCCTACACAGGGGCAATGTTGACTTGGAGACTCTGACAGCCGAGTGAATATGAAAGCAGGGAAAGTGGTTGACCTTCTCCCCCCCTTGCCGCCAACCTTTCATTTCTCTCCCCTCTCCAGGGCGCAGCAGAAATGCTGCACAGGGGCAGCGTGGACCTGGAGAGCCTCACAGCTGAGTACACTCGCAAGCAGGGAGGTTGATTGTCCTTTTTGTTGCAACCTTTTCGACCTTCTCCCTCCCTTGCTGTCAATCTTTCATCACTGTCCCTTCCAGGGAGCAGCGGAGATCCTCCACAGGGGCAGCGTGGACCTGGAGAGCCTCACAGTGGAGTATACACGCAAGCAGGGAGGTTAATTGTCCTTTGTGTTGCAGCCTATTCGACCTTCTCCCTCCCTTGCTGTCAATCTTTCATCACTGCTCCTTCCAGGGAGCGGCGGAGATCCTCCACAGGGGCAGCGTGGACCTGGAGAGCCTCACAGCGGAGTACACTCGCAAGTTCGCCAACCCGTACAGTGCAGCGCAGCTGGGTTATGTGGACGCCGTCATCATGCCGAGAGACACACGCAAGGTGCTCTGCAAGGAAATGGCCCGACTCAGGAACAAGGTGAGGGGTTTGGAGAGGTTGGGGTGGGTTGGATGGGGTTGGGAGTAGTTTTTAGCGAATGGGAAGGGATTGTGGTTGCAAGCTCTCCAACCCGTACAGTGCATCGCAGCTGGGGTATGTGGATGTGGTTATCATGCCGAGTGACACACGCAAAGTGCTCTGCAAGGAGATGGCGCGACTTAGAAACAAGGTGAGCGGTTTGGCGAGTTTAGGGCGGGTTGGGAGGGGTCGGGAGGGGTTAGGAGGAGGTTGGGAGCGGTTGAGAGTGGTTGGTGGTTGCAGGTTTGCCTGTGCAGTGCGGTGCAGTTGGGGTATGTGGTCGGCGGTGTGATCATGCCAAGAAACACAAGGAAGGTGCTCTGCAATGAGATGGTGTTGGGGGGGGTTTCAGAGGGGTGTTTGAGTATGTGGGCGCAGCTGGACTGTGCGGGCACTGTTGCGTATTTGATGCAGTGGCATGTTGGTGTGCGGTGCATGGGGACAGTGCTGCTTGTAAAAATGGCCCCGAACCAAGATGAGGAGGGGGAGAGAGAAGACGAGAGCAATATGAGGAAGAAGGAACAGGGTGAAAGGTTGTGCTGGGGAGAGTGGTGGTTGGGGCGTGGCTGGTCAAGATGCGTCCTAGGCACACACCATGTATCTGTTGTTGGTTATTCAATCTGAGCTGGATATTATCATGAAGGTTTCTCAACTTTCTGGTGGCACAAAGGTTGGATGGTCGAGATGGATGGACAGGCATAGTAGGTATGATACCATCCTGTATGTTCGACTAGCCAACCAGGTGATTGCACGTCACCTCCCTTTTCACCTGCAACCAGCTTCATGCATGTTGACTAAAAATGTTAACTTGGTTTGCAAGAATACATTTGTTGCGTTGCCTTGTGGGACTGATTGTGTGGATGTGGGTGTGGTCTTGGGCGTGTGTGGCTGTGTGTTTGTGGTGTCCGTGGGGGGGAATGGGGGGTGGATGTGGATGTGGTGTGTGTGTGAGGGTGTGTATGTGTGTGAGGGGGTGTGTGTGTGTGTGTGTGTGTGTGTGTGTGTGTGTGTGTGTGTGTGTGTGTGTTGGTGCCTGTGTGATATTGCCTTGCAGAAACTGGCCAATCCGTGGAAGAAGCACGACAACATGCCACTGTAACAAACAACCCTCGCTGGACCTCACAGCACCGCACAGCCTAGCACAGCACAGCATCGCACGGTTCACGAAAGCATCTCGAACACCATATGTCCATTCTGTACATTAAAAACGGCTCACTCACGTTAAACTGCCATGTCAGTGGAGAAAACATGACGAATGCCCCTGTGGTAGTCATTCTGCCTGGATTCTTCAATCATCATCGTGGCTGGATGTATGCATGCGGCTCATATTATTTAGTTTGTACATTGTAGGGTCTTCTATTGTGGTCCAATGTGGTACCTACTACTGGCCCTGCCCAGGATACAGGACCCATTGATATAGTACTTGGAATATATGCGACACTTGGATACAATCAGCAAGCACGTTAAATGGTAGTCAATCAATCCAACACCTCTCAAGCACTCTGGTCAGACTATGAAGTGATGATTGAGCATGCAAGTACAATACCATGATAAAACAGGGGCTGCGTGGGAGCCTTCAGTTTAGTGAAGCATGAGGCGCATTCTGGCAGACCTAACAGATGGGAGGTAGTCAATCCACCACCACTCTGTCACCCTACCAACGTCGGTCAGCAACGGCTCTTTCAGCTTGGGCAACCAACGGAGTGACCCGGGCAAAGAGTTCAGCTCCGGCAAATAGCACAGCTCCAGTGTTTCAAGGTTTTTCAGCTGCCCTAGTGACTCGGGCAGCACAGATAACTTTTTCAAGTTTTCGAGCTTCAAGAAGGTGAGGTTTTGCAGCCGTCCGAGGGATTCTGGCAGGTTGGAGAGGCCGTGCATGTGGGTGAGGGTGAGGGATGAGAGGGCAGAGAGCGCGGAGAAGGAATCAGGGAGAGAGGAGAATTGTGAACAGTTACGCAGAGATAGGCTGGTGAGAGACGCCAGGCCCCAGGGCTGCTGTGCGGTGCGCTGCTCCTTGCTGTGCTCTGGCTGTGGCTGTGGCTGTGCCTGTGCCTGTGCCTGTGGCTGTGGCTGTGGCTGTGGCTGTGGCTGTGGCTGTGGCTGTGGCTGTGCCTGTGCCTGTGCCTGTGCCTGTGGCTGTGGCTGTGGCTGTGGCTGTGGCTGTGGCTGTGGCTGTGGCTGTGGCTCGGTGGACTTATTGGTATGAGTGCAAGCAGTGGTGGGGCCAGCAGCAGCGACAGTGGCAGAAGCAGGAGCAGGGTCAAGAGGAGGGCGAGGCGCAAGGTCAGGAGGAGGGGCAGAAGCAGGATCAACGGAGAGAGCAGAAGCAAGGGAGCAGCAGGTCACGCCTAATGCGGGATTCGGAGAAAACAGAGGGTCTAGGGACTCGAGGCGAGAGCAGGCGGTGATTTCGAGCTCTTGGAGGCGCGTCAGCATGGGCAGCTGGGGGGGCAGCCGCCTCAGCTCACTGCAGCCGCGCAGGTACAGCTTCTCCAGGCTGTGCCTCACACTCCCCGTGCACAGGCTTTCGGGCAGCTGCAGCAGACGCACACCCTCGATTCTCAACCTCCTCAATCGCTGTAAGTTGCCCACGCTCTCGGGCAGAGCACAGAGGTTGCGCAGATTGACCAGCGCTAGGGTTTCAAGGTGTGCCAGGGATCCGAGATTGTCAGGAAGAGAGGTGAGTGCAGGGCATGCGTCGATGGAGAGGGAGGAGAGGGGGAGGGAGCAGATGGTGTCCGGGAGGGTCTGGAGGGACCCCCAGCGAAGGAAAAGCTCCTCCAATCGCGTCATCGCCCCCATCACATGCTCTGGCAGGCACATCACATGCTGGGACTGCAGCGAGAGGGAACGTAGGCTGGTGAGATGCTGAAAGGAATCCGGGATTGACTGCACACCCATCACAATTTCTAGGGTTTGCAAATGTGGTAAGTGACCAATCGAGCTGGGGAGGTGCGCGAGGCTGCTGGTGGGATCCGGGAGTCCTTGTAACGGCGACCCTGTATTCGAGCGGACTTCCCGTAGCTGCTGAAGCGCGCGGATGCTCTCGGTTGGCAAAGCAAGATGCTCGAAGTAATCGTCGACAGTGCGGCGGCAGAGATGGAGGGTTGTGAGGTCGGAGAGGAGAGAGACGGCGGGCGGGAGTGTGAGGTGGTTGAAGGTGAGCAGGCGGAGGTCGCGGAGCTTGCGACAGCCATGGAAGAGAGACAAGAGGCCGTTGCTAGTGATGTGCAGGAGAGCCTGGTAGTGTACGGTCAAATGTGTCAAATGCGGACACGTGGCGCCCACGCATTGGAAGAAAGCATCGCCGTTCAAATTCAAAACGTAACAGTACCGAAGCTCGAGGTGCGTGAGGGAGGAGAAGCTGCGAATCGTGTCTAGGAGAACGGAAAATTGGATCCTGGAATTGACTCGGAGATGCGTGAGCGAGAAGCGCGCTACGGCGTACCATTGCTTGGAGACAAGCGCGTAATGGAAGGAGTCGCGCGTTAGCGAGCGCAGCACGAGCGAGAGAAGATAATTATCGGATAGGACCTCCGCGATCGGTGAGGGAGGAGAGGAAGAAGTCCAGAAGGCGGGGAAGAGGGGAGACGGCATGGTAAGGTACATATTGTTAGAAGTGGTTCGCCTCTGCACCGAATTTAGAGCATGAAGTAGACAAAATTAGATAATATTATGGGAGAATAGGCTTGAAAATCTCTTAGGACGGTGGGCGGAGCTACTACGATGGTAAACGAGCTCTGTCGCGAGATGGTAGAGTTGAGGGAGCTCCGTCAAATCTCCATCTCTTCACCATCTCCTAACCAACGGGGAAAACGAGGGTTTGAGGGGAGATAGAACGTTAACCATGCAAGGTAGTGTTCGTTGAAATTCAAGTAGTCGGTTTCATTTCGGTTTCGGTTTGAATTTCATAGTCGGTGTCCGTTACGATATTCGGTTTTGCGACGAGGCGCGTTACACGAGGCGAGAATTTGGATTTCGATTTACGGTATGATACAAATCCAAATGTGTGAAATTTTTCTTTCGCCATGTTTCTTGAAAGTGCTCGTTGGTTGCCTCTCGCGAGCAATAGGCAAGAGCACCTGCCTGAGCGTTCTTTCGACGGCGTTTCAGCAACAATTCCATTATGACACTTGAAATCCGTACTTGCAACTTCTGAAGTGCTCGACTCTGTTATTATAACAGCAAAACACTGTAGCTGAATAAAATATACTGTACGTGTGGGCCAGCAACACCGTGGCCTCGCTGACACTTGCAATGATATCCTATTGCAAGCAGGTACATGCAATGGCACACGACCAGCAGCAGCAGCAGCAGCAGCAGCAGCAGCAGCAGCAGCAGCAGCAGCAGCAGCAGCAGCAGCAGCAGCAGCAGTGTGTCAGCTTTCCCGTGTCACATAGTCAAGTGCTAGCTTGGCACGACACTGCAGGGAGCATCAGACAGGAAGGACAGCAAAGAAGAGCACAGGCATGTTTGTGCCACCACACACACAGACGCATACCTGCTCACACGCACACGCACACACACATGTGTGTCCATGCACGACGAAGCACAGTGCGTTTCGCCCACTCACTCAACTCAACCACCGCCACCACTCTTTGCTCAACTCAATCACAACAACCCGAGTGCGCAAAACCCTAAAAACGACCACACACAAAAGCCTATTCACAGCAACAGAAAAGCAGAGGGCGAGTGAGACCCTATCCGCAGCATGTCTGACAGCGATGTCACCACGCCCTCTACTGCCCTCACAGCAGCAGAGGGCGAGTGCAGCGAGATCGATTCATCGCAACACACGAGCAAAGAGCGAGTGCATGTGTGTATGCCTTACAGCGATGTCGAAGCTCCCTTGCGCTGCCAGCCTCTCCAGCTGCGCCACCACGCCCTCTACTGCCCTCACAGCAGCAGAGGGCGAGTGCAGCGAGATCGATTCATCGCAACACACGAGCAAAGAGCGAGTGCATGTGTGTATGGCTTACAGCGATGTCGAAGCTCCCGTGCGCTGCCAGCCTCTCCAGCTGCGCCACCACGCCCTCTACTGCCCTCACAGCAGCAGAGGGCGAGTGCAGCGAGATCGATTCATCGCAACACACGAGCAAAGAGCGAGTGCATGTGTGTATGTCTTACAGCGATGTCGAAGCTCCCGTGCGCTGCCAGCCTCTCCAGCTGCGCCACCACGCCCTCTACTGCCCTCACCGCAGCCGCTCGCCTGTGAGCCCCCGGGCACGCGGGGCGGCAGAGGTTGGCGAGGCACCAGAGCGAGGCCAGGCGCAGGCACGTGCAGCCGCGCAGGCGCAGCAGGTGCAGGATGAGCTGAGGAGAGGGGGGATTGCTGGGCTGGGTCGAGCTGGAAGGCGGGTGCTGGTGGAGAAGATGGGGCGGAGGGGTGGCTGCCAGCGCTTCTCCTTTTCCCTCTCGCCCCTTGATGCTGCCCGCAGCAGCAGCGGCAGCAGCAGCACTTGGACTCGAGCCTGCACCACTGCATGCGACCGCCTTCGCTCCATCTGCTTCCACGCTCCCTGGCGCCCCGCACACGGCTTCTTCACTCTCTGCTCCTGCCTGCCAACGGGCTTCAAACTCCCTGACCTTGGCGGCAGGCAGCAGCAGCAGCGGCAGCACAGAGTCCTTGGCCTGTGCGCCCCCTGCTGCCACGTTGCTCAGAGCCAGCATGGACTGGTGGGATACAGGTAGGGTGGCAGGGAACAGGTTGGGGGGGTCTTTTGAGTCGACTCAAATACACCTGCTGCCACGTTGCTGGGATACATAGGAGCAGAGAGCAGTACAAGGGAGATTGGGCTTACAGATTGAACAGCAAGCAAAAAGAGAGTCAGAAAGAGATGGAACGGAGCACAGCACCTCCACGCACCTCCACTCGCACCGCATACTGAGTCCGCTGCACTGCCGCCAACTCTGCCTCCGCATCCCACCCACCCTCCTCCTCTGCATCCCCTCCTGCGTCTCCTCCCACTGCGCCTCTCACTCCTCCCGCTGCTCCTCCTGCTAAGGCTGGTCTGAGGGGCGGTGGGCGGGCAGGCAGCAGTTTGGCGGCGAGGAGGCGCAGGAGGGCGCCGTGGAGGGCAGCTGGGGCCAGCAGCAGGTGGGCGTCCTCCTCTGCTCCGTGCGCCACGTTGCGCAGCAGTACCGCTGCCTGCACCTGCACACTTGGCGAGGAGTCTGGCGGGATAAGGTGGGGATGGATGCAGAGCGATGGAGGTAGGGCGACGACGGGTAGCAGAGAGGTCCGCATTCGCAGCAGGTGGGAGAGGGGTGGGCAGCGGGTGATGGCAGCAACAACGCAGACACGGCATGACAGAAGGAGACACGGGAATGAGACACGGGAATGAGACACGGGAATGAGACACGGGAAGGAGACACGGGAAGGAGACACGGGAATGAGACACGGGAATGAGACACGGGAATGAGACACGGGAATGAGACACGGGAATGAGACACGGGAATGAGACACGGGAATGAGACACGGTAATGAGACACGGGAATGAGACACGGGAATGAGACACGGGAATGAGACACGGGAATGAGACACGGGAATGAGACACGGGAATGAGACACGGGAATGAGACACGGGATGAGACACGGGAATGAGACACGGGAATGAGACACGGGAATGAGACACGGGAATGAGACACGGGAATGAGACACGGGAATGAGACACGGGAATGAGACACGGGAATGAGACACGGGAATGAGACACGGGAATGAGACACGGGAATGAGACACGGGAATGAGACACGGGAATGAGACACGGGAATGAGACACGGGAATGAGACACGGGAATGAGACACGGGAATGAGACACGGGAATGAGACACGGGAATGAGACACGGGAATGAGACACGGGAATGAGACACGGGAATGAGACACGGGAATGAGACACGGGAATGAGACACGGGAATGAGACACGGGAATGAGACACGGGAATGAGACACGGGAATGAGACACGGGGATGAGACACGGGGATGAGACACGGGGATGAGACACGGGGATGAGACACGGGGATGAGACACGGGAATGAGACACGGGAATGAGACACGGGAATGAGACACGGGAATGAGACACGGGAATGAGACACGGGAATGAGACACGGGAATGAGACACGGGAATGAGACACGGGAATGAGACACGGGAATGAGACACGGGAATGAGACACGGGAATGAGACACGGGAATGAGACACGGGAATGAGACACGGGAATGAGACACGGGAATGAGACACGGGAATGAGACACGGGAATGAGACACGGGAATGAGACACGGGAATGAGACACGGGAATGAGACACGGGAATGAGACACGGGGATGAGACACGGGGATGAGACACGGGGATGAGACACGGGGATGAGACACGGGGATGAGACACGGGAATGAGACACGGGAATGAGACACGGGAATGAGACACGGGAATGAGACACGGGAATGAGACACGGGAATGAGACACGGGAATGAGACACGGGAATGAGACACGGGAATGAGACACGGGAATGAGACACGGGAATGAGACACGGGAATGAGACACGGGAATGAGACACGGGAATGAGACACGGGAATGAGACACGGGAATGAGACACGGGAATGAGACACGGGAATGAGACACGGGAATGAGACACGGGAATGAGACACGGGAATGAGACACGGGAATGAGACACGGGAATGAGACACGGGAATGAGACACGGGAATGAGACACGGGAATGAGACACGGGAATGAGACACGGGAATGAGACACGGGAATGAGACACGGGAATGAGACACGGGGATGAGACACGGGGATGAGACACGGGGATGAGACACGGGGATGAGACACGGGATGAGACACGGGAATGAGACACGGGAATGAGACACGGGAATGAGACACGGGAATGAGACACGGGAATGAGACACGGGAATGAGACACGGGAATGAGACACGGGAATGAGACACGGGAATGAGACACGGGAATGAGACACGGGAATGAGACACGGGAATGAGACACGGGAATGAGACACGGGAATGAGACACGGGAATGAGACACGGGAATGAGACACGGGAATGAGACACGGGAATGAGACACGGGAATGAGACACGGGAATGAGACACGGGAATGAGACACGGGAATGAGACACGGGAATGAGACACGGGATGAGACACGGGGATGAGACACGGGGATGAGACACGGGGATGAGACACGGGGATGAGACACGGGGATGAGACACGGGGATGAGACACGGGGATGAGACACGGGGATGAGACACGGGGATGAGACACGGGAATGAGACACGGGAATGAGACACGGGAATGAGACACGGGAATGAGACACGGGAATGAGACACGGGAATGAGACACGGGAATGAGACACGGGAATGAGACACGGGAATGAGACACGGGAATGAGACACGGGAATGAGACACGGGAATGAGACACGGGAATGAGACACGGGAATGAGACACGGGAATGAGACACGGGAATGAGACACGGGAATGAGACACGGGAATGAGACACGGGAATGAGACACGGGAATGAGACACGGGAATGAGACACGGGAATGAGACACGGGAATGAGACACGGGAATGAGACACGGGAATGAGACACGGGAATGAGACACGGGAATGAGACACGGGAATGAGACACGGGAATGAGACACGGGAATGAGACACGGGAATGAGACACGGGAATGAGACACGGGAATGAGACACGGGAATGAGACACGGGAATGAGACACGGGAATGAGACACGGGAATGAGACACGGGAATGAGACACGGGAATGAGACACGGGAATGAGACACGGGAATGAGACACGGGAATGAGACACGGGAATGAGACACGGGAATGAGACACGGGAATGAGACACGGGAATGAGACACGGGAATGAGACACGGGAATGAGACACGGGAATGAGACACGGGAATGAGACACGGGAATGAGACACGGGAATGAGACACGGGAATGAGACACGGGAATGAGATGCGGGAATGAGACATGAAGCAGGCACCCACTTGGCAGAAGAGCAGGCAGGCACGCACCTAGCAGCAGGGCGGGAAGGGTAGCGGGCAGCAGGAGGGCGAGCAGCTGCTGCTTGACAGGTGTGGTGGCGGAGTGAGCCACATTGCGCAGCACCATCACACTGCGCTCCACCACCTGCACTGCTACCCGCCCTCTCCCCCCCACTCTCCCTTCCACACTCCCCTCCACACCCCCTTTCACGACCTCCTCTTGCACGCACCCCTCCCGCCCCCCAGCTGCCAGGTGGGCCATGCGGGTGAGCAGCCCTGCTTGCATGAGAGCACCCGTGTCACCACGGAAGTCCAGCAGCAGATTGGCCAATGCTGACACCGCTGGTAACTGAGATGAAGTGAGATCATGTGAGAGGAAAGAGACGGAACGTCTTAGAGATTGACTGACTCAGCCATGCTGGCAGCTAAGGCGAAGCGTGGTCACATGAGAAGAGAGAGAATGGGATGGGAACGTAAAGACAGGAAAGCATACTCGAAATGGGACGAGAGAGATTTCTTCATGTACAGTGCTGGTTGGCCAAACTGCCAGTGGCATCAGGGGAGGGCGCACCTGGGCAGAGGCATCAGGGAGGGCGCACCTGGGCAGAGGCATCAGGGAGGGCGCACCTAGGCAGAGGCATCAGGGAGGAGGGCGCACCTGAGCAGAGGCATCAGGGAGGGCGCACCTGAGCAGAGGCATCAGGGAGGGCGCACCTGGGCAGAGGGGTCGGGAGAGGCAGCGAGGTTGAGAACGGCGAGAATGATGGGCGCCGTGGACAGTCCTGTGCGGAGATTCTGAGCACACCGCACGGGAAGGAGGGGTTGGGGGAAAGGGCGGGCAGGCAGTCAGACAGATGAGCTGAAGAGGGAGCCAAGAGGGTGAGACAGGCAGCAAATCTCTAGAAGATACTTATTTATACTGAGAGGATTCACACTACTGGAGTTTGTGGAGGAAGTCCTGGGCAGTACTGGGTTTGAGAGCCCCCCACATTCCTGAAGTGCTCAGCTTTGAAAGCCCGCTCTGCAAAATTCTCAACTCCTCATGAAATCTTCTTGTACTCCTTTACGACTCAAGTATTTGAAAAAAAAACGGGAGACACGCAAGGAAACTGGCACCTTGATGGAGCGGGAGAGAGAGTGCAGACAGGAGCAGGCAGCGGTGCGCAGGGGCATGGGCTGGGAGGCATCGAGGCAGCGCAGCAGCGGCTGAAGCACCTGTGGGTAGGGATTGAGAGGGTGGTGGGAAGGAGAGGAAGGGGAGCGGGGAGAGAGCGAGGGAGGGAAGAGGCAGTCTGTGAGACAATGCACACGTGAGTGCAGCACGGAGAGAGCACAGTGCATCATTGCATGTTCTCACCTGCACGCGGCATCACCTGCACCAGGCATCACCGCACTGCACCGGGCATCACCTTGAGGTCGAGCGCCTGGCGACGGATGGGCTCCCACGAGGAGCACAGCACCGCTAGTGCCGCCGCTGTACCCTCCCTCTGCACCGCACTGCGTTCCACCGCCACCGCACTGCCTTCCCCCTCACTCCTCCCCTTCTCCCCTCCACGCACACTCCCTCCTCCGCCCTCACTCCTCCAGCCCAGCCCCTCCCCACTCCCCCTCCGCGCCTCCCTCCCCTCTCTCCCCTCTCTTCGCGCCCCCCACGCACCCTCGCCCCGTCGTCCCATGCGCGAGTGTTGTCGCCCCTCTCGCCCCTCTCGCCCCTCTCGCCCCTCTCGCCCCTCTCGCCCCGCTCACCCCATGCCATCCATCGGCGCGAGGGCAACTCCGCACTCTCCCTGCGCCCCACCCCGCTCAGCCATCCCCGCGTCGCCCTAGGCTCGGTGAATACCAACCCATTGGAGGTAGGCTCGGCCAAGCCTACGGAACCAAAGGTTACAACGGGTGGGGAGCGGGAGAAGAGTGGCCTGGTGGTGGCAGCAGTGGGGGGCGAGGAGGAGGAGGGGATGAGAGGCGAGGGGAAGGTTGGAAAAGGGGGGATGGGAGGAGGGGAGGAGGAGGAGGGAATGGGAAAGGCGGAGGAGGAGGGGATGGGAAGCGAGGAAGAGGCAGCGGTGGGGGCGGGGCGGAGCAGAGAGACGAGCTCAGAGGCGGCGTGGGCGTTGAAGGCTGCCCACTGCACGTCCTCCCTCCCCTCCAACAGCTGCTGCAGTAGCCTCGGCGCCTGCTCGCCCACCTGCGGGGGGGAGAAAGACAAACAAGATAGCTTGCCTGCAGGGGACTTAACGGTGAACAGAGTGGAACGAGAGGTGAGTGCAGCAGGAGAACCGCAGGAATGGTGGATGGGGGCGCATCAAGAGAAGGAGGTGCAAAAGGTATGGAGGAGCGACAAGGAACAGAGGTGGCGTGAGCAGAGTGTGGAGGTGCAGAGCAGAGAGAGACGGCTGACCTGGTCGCCTAGAGGCAGCAGGTTGATGAGCGCCACCAGCACCACCGCTGCCACATTCACATCCACTGCCGCTGCTGCCCCCACGCCCACTCCCACACCCATGCGCATCGGCCTCTCGCCACTGGCAGCAGTAGCAGGTGTGAGCGCGGTGGCAGGCGCGGTAGCAGGCGTGCGGTGTGGCCCTGTGCGAGGAGACAAAATCGCCCCGCACACCACATGCTGCGCCCGCCCCTCTTCACTCTCCCGCCGACACGCCGCCTGCTCGTGGCCTTGCTGTCGCAGCCACGTGCCTCGATCGGCGCCCTTGGTCATCCCGCCTGCCTTCAACCCGCCCCAGGCATCCCGCTTCACTCCACCGCCACGCCCACCCGCCCGTCCACCCCCATCGCCTGTAATGCTGCTGCCGCCGCTGCTGCTGCTGCATACAACCCGCTCAACCCTGACACTCTCAGCCGCTGCTGCCACTGCTGTGGCAGGGGGGGGCTGCCAGCAGCACAAGCAGGGGCAGCAGGTGGCGAGCAAAGGGCAGCAGCGGTGGTGGCAGGTGGAACAGCGGTGGTGGCAGGAGCAGGCAGGGCGACAGCAGGCAGGGCAGCGAGGGAGGGAGCGGGGTGTTGGAGGAAGGAGCGAGGCACGGCAGTGATGGCACCACCATGCGGCCAGAGAGCTGCCTCGAGGTGCAGCAGACAGCGGCACGCGTTGAGCCGCGTGGCGGGGGATGGGTGGCGTGTGAGGCTCACCACTGCTGCCAGCGCTGCTCCCCCTCCCATGTCTGGAGGGTGGGTGTCGGCAATTGCGCGAGGGAGGGGGGAAGGAAAGGGTGGGGAAGGGAGAAAAGAGGCGGAGGGGATGGGAGTTGAGGAAGAAGTGGTGATTGTGAACGGTGTGTGTGTGCGAGTGAGCCATCTGCGCATTGAGTTGAGTGAGTGAGTGAGAAGATGGTAGTTTGAACCGACGGCGAACACAGGCATGCAGCGGCAGAGCACTGGCGCCATGCCCACAGGCAGCAGGCAGCAGCACAGCGAATTGAATACACACATGCACACCCACACGCACCCACGAGAGCAGCAGCCTGCTGTCTGTCGCCCCTGACAGCCGCCGCCAGGGCAAGCAGAGCAGCGTCGGTGCAGCGCGGTGACGAGGCGAGCAGGCGCGTGAGTGACAGCAGCCCCCCTGCCTGTGCTAGTGCTGCCTGTTGCTGCGGCGAGTGCACACAGTGCGCTGCCACACTCGCTGCCACCTGGTGTGGACGGTGGGGGGAGGGGTGGGAGGTTGGTGGGTGGGGCGGTGGGGACAGGGAGAGGGGAGTGGGGCGGTGGGGACAGGGAGAGGGGAGTGGGGCGGTGGGGACAGGGGGGAATTGGGTGCTTTTGAGGCGCGCCAAAACCTGCCAGCTGCTGCGGCGAGTGAGGGACAGCAGCCCACCAGCCTGTGCTAGTGCTGCCTGCTGCTGGTGCGACTCAAAAGTCAACTCGAGATGAGGAATATGCACATGCGTACAGTATTCCTTGTTGACTTTTGAGTCGACTCAAAAGTCAACTCGAGATGAGGAATATGCACATGCGTACAATATTCCTTGGTGATTCCTTTCCATGCTCGCAGTGTAATCACCCCAGCAACTACATGCACACTCACCTCTGACACTGTCTCGTTGGGGGAGGCGAGCAGGGATGGCAGCAGGGTGAGGGCGGGCGAGAGCCAATCCCCTGCAGCAGTGCTGCCACGTGGCAGCGCAGGAGTGGACTGGAAGATCAAACGCAGTGACCTTGCAGCTGCTTCCACCACCTGTGTGTTGCAGATAGGTGCAGGGGGGTGCAGAAAGTTGCAGAGAGGTTCAGAGAGGTGCAAAGTGGGGCAGACAGGGCGTGCATCTGGTGCGGTGCCCATGGCACCGTGGCATGTCATGTCCATTCGTGGCACGTCCATCCGTGGCATGTGGACATGGCATGGCATGGCAGCATGCGGGCATCACCTTGGCATGGGGGTGCAGCAAGCAGTGCAGCAGAGGCAGCACGGCCCCGGCTGCCAGCCAGACAGCTAGCGGAAGCACGCCCTCTGCCAACCCACGCGCCAAACTGCCTTTGAGAATTCCCAAAAGAAACTCCAACGGCGTCACCTTGGTGTGCGGGTGAAGCAAGCAGCGCAGCAGCGGCAGCACGGCCCCCGCTGCCAGCACGGCATGCACGCCCTCCGGCAGCCCGCACGCCAAACTGCCCACCGCCGCCGCTGCCTGCTGCACCTCCTCCACTCCCCACGCCCCCTCTTTCCCCCCTGCCCCCTCCGCCCCCTCCGCCCCTTCCATTCCGTCCGCTCCCTCTAGCATCGCCACCAGCCTGATGGGCGCAGCACATGGCATAGACGGGCATGGCAGGCAGGGGAGGGGAGGGCAGACAGGCAGGCAGGTAGGAGGGCACTGACTCAAACCACTCCCCACCGCACTGACTCAAACTGCTCCCCACCGCACCGACTCAAACCACTCCCCACCGCACCGACTCAAACCACTCCCCACCGCACTGACTCAAACCACTCCCCACCGCACTGACTCAAACGACTCCCCGAACCAGTGCCCCATCACAGAATCGGATGGAGTGGGAACGGCAGCGGATAGAAGGTTAAAAAACGCGGGAGCAGCAGGGCGCGGGGAGGGGCGGTGGGAACGGAGAAAGGGCCGCGTGCAACGCGCAGCGTGATTTCGGGGGAGGGCGGGGGCGGGGAAGGGGGCGCGGGAAGGAGGGCGGCGCAGCGCACGGAGGGGAAGTGGCGCGCGGAGGAGGGATGCGCGCGGAGGAAGGAGGCGCGCGGAGGAAGGAGGCGCGCGGGGAAGGGAGGTGCACCTGGGCACGGCGCGCAGGCGGATGAAAGCGAGCTTGCGCGTGCGGCTGCCGATGGCGGCGTTCTTCACATCGCGCACCGCGCGCAGCCGCACTTTCGCGTCACCCGCCGCCAGCCCCGCCACCAGCTCCTCCGCCCGCCCCGCCCGCCGCCACGCGTCGCCAGGACGGGTCGCCGATGCCGATGGCATCGCGGCGCGAAGCGGAATAGCGAGTTCGTTATTGTTTGAAAGCCCGAATAACCTGCAGTATAACTAATGAATGGCTCAGCGCATTTCGAGAGCTGTTATGCTTGCGGCAGCTGAGGTTACACGACAGCCGTCCGTCTGCCTGTGTATCCTTGGTTTTGGAATCGCGATTGGGCGGTCACTTGGCTGAAATCTCCAACACAGCAAGAAGTGTTTCCTTATAGAAGTGGTGACCAAGATTAGGGATCGGAGTGTAGAAACGAGAGAACTAGTATTGCACTAACGGGTAAATTAAGGGCGTGAATATTTGGGATTTTTTCGGAATACCTAGCTGCTTGGTAAACTCTATGTTGCAGTGAGGTTTAGTGCGTTTTAGGGCAGTGAGAGTCCAAACCTAACCACCTCCCCCAGGATGTTACACGCCCTAACTCAGTGCATAAGAGTGCAATTGCTGATGGGGTGCGGCTTACACATGTCTAATTTCATGTCATTTGGGGTGGTCGTTGCGTGTCTAGCCATTTGCGAGTTATTGGTGGCTGAAAAAATGGAAATACTCTTATAAAGGAACGTTCAAGTTTTGTTTGTTATTAGGGTCTCATTTTTCCTCATAGTTTTTGCTTTATACTCTGAGTAGTTTTCTCACAGTGTAACCAGTATCGACTAATAGCTTGGACCCATGTGGATGAATTACAGTACATCGAATTAGTCTGAAAGCCGTTCTGTTTCTGCGCCCAGAGCTTCGATTGGCAGTAACCCTGCCCATAAGCGACAGTGCTGTGCATCTGGAATGTATTTTCAATACAGTAACCGTTCTTGACCAGCTGGAAACCCAGAGGTCTTTGATTCTACTTTTCTCGACTTTTAATTCTTCTCTTCGTCTCCCCATTATTTTACAGAACGCTCCTGTGGGATTCGAAAGAATCTCACCAGTAGCTTTGGCGGCCTTGTGAAACCTCCACGGAAGTGGCTAACGGTGCCCAGAAAAGGATCTGGGAACTGGTCGACCAGCCCTTTCGCAAAGGAAAAGTTTTGCCTTGACACTCAAGGACACCGCCAAGTCAATCACTTGACTCGTCCGACGCAGGAATTGCATGACTTTTTGTCAGCGACCGAGAAGTCAACCCAGACCGAGCTGACGTGGCTTCATTTGGTTTGGATTGGCTTCTCGTAACGTGTGACCCGCCCACTTTGCATCTCACATCGCAGGGTCTTTCAGAGATAGTACGGTCGGTACTGTACCACACAATGAACGATCTCCTCTCTCTCGATCCGACTCGGAAATGCGCGGTTTGCTGACTTCCATCCCAAGCCAACCCTCCTTTATTCAAATTCCACAACCCCCAGAACACTCGATCAAGTAACTCGGCGGTGTTTTCGATCACTCAAGTTCATTCGCCATTCTTGTTCAGTTCCGCAAGAAACCTACGTGTGTTCCGAGTTTCAGACCAAACATGGAAAAATGCGGCTCTTCGGGCTGTTTCGCCACCGGAAGAAGTGCCGCGGGAGCAACATCGTGGCTTCTGCCGGTGTTATTCGCCGCAGTGCTTCTGGGAGCGCCCTCTCAGACCGAAGCACAGCATCCTGACGAATACGCACCGCACGGTCCCCTGACACAGCCCCGCGGATGCTACAAGAGATGCAACAGGCTAAGAATGGGGTACTCTATTGCCCCTGGAGCCACGAGGGCGTTCGAGCAAAGCTCTCTCGGGAACGTCAACTATGAGCGCTATCTCGTCGACCAAGCCGGAGTCATCAAAAGCAGTACAACATCAGGGGTAATCAACTACTCAACTTATACTAGTACTACTAAAATTTGGTGTTTCCTTGCAAAAGTTCAACCTTCTTTGCGTTTCTTTCCATGATATGTCTTAGCGTCGCGCTTTCGTTCTATGCAGAAGTTCCGTTCTACCGCGGTAAAAAAATCGACTTAGCTTTCTGTTCTACTAACTGTCGAGTTTCGTACCGCTCCTCTTGGCAGGGCATGGATGACGCGCAAGCAAGGGAATGTTGTAAGAAGTGTGCCAAGCAGGAAGGCTGCAGGTTCTGGCGACTGAAACCCGCAGTGAACGGCCAGCTGTAAGCATAGTCTTGCGTTTATCAAGCATCATGCTCACGTCGCAATCTATTTTGGTTTTACGGATATCTGGAAAGTCCATCTGCGCTTTCTTTGTGCTCAGCCTCACGTTGTGGTTCCGCACTTCAAGCTGGTTTCCTCCTTGATGCTTTCAGCGTTGAACGTGTAAATCTTCAAGCCTCCACTTTCCCCTCTCGCATCCCGTGTGACCTATCCGAGCAGTGGCGAATGCAAGTTGCTGAGCTCGCTATCGGGCATCACCGTGCGAAACTGGGACGTTCCCATCGTACCATCGTACGTGGGCGGCGAGTGCAACCCCCTTGCCAACACGGACGACGACCCGCATTTCCGGGGCGCAGACGGCACGCGCTTCGACTTCAACGGCCTTCTCGACCGCTCCTTTTGCTTGGTTTCCGACCGTCGGATCCACATCAACATGGGAATCAAGGGCTACCAGCCCATCGCGAATCTCCCCGGCACGGCGACCTCATTGGACGAAGAGTCGCTTGCTGCAGCGCTGGAAGCAGCGGCCAATGAGAAGAAGCCGCGTCATATCAGGCAGCTGGAGCAGGAGCGACTGAGCGCGGAGGAACTGAGCGAGCTGGAGAGGATGCGGGCCAATGGGAGCCTGCCGTTGACTGATGAGGTGGCGGCCGCACTTGAGCGGGAGGTCGGCGGCGGGAGTGGAGGGGAAGAGGAGAAGCAGCATTCGATTCAGTACGGGAAGCATGAGCTTAAGGCGAGGCTTCTGAAAGGAAAGGCGATTCGCAGCTGGATCAGGTATGCGACACTGTTCTTCCACGTTGCGGGTTCCCTTTTTCAAGCTATCCCATATTCGCAGCTCTTTGGTTTGTGCTTCACAAATGTTTACCCTCATGTTCTCCTTTGTTCTTATTCCTTCCAGGGAGCTCCAAGTGATGTGGCGCGACGAGGCTGGCTCACAGCACTCAGCGTTCATCAAGGCGCGTGACGGCAAGGAGCAAGGGAGGGGCAGCAGCGGGTTCATCGACCGACTGGAGCTCGACGGCTCGCCGGTAGCCCCGCCTCTGTCCGCCGGCTCTGCCGTCGTTGGCAGCGGCGGGTTCAAGCTTCTGCTGGCAGAAACGCGGAGCCGCAAGGGGAAGGATGAGGATGAGTTTCATCTCACGATTGATGGCGTGGTGGACATGGGCATGACAGCGCGTTTGGCGCATCCGCTCATGCAGACAGCCTCGGAGGCTCAGGCGCATTTCAACGTGCACATTGATCGGCTCAATGTGAGCAACCTCCTGATTCTTCGCTCTCTGCTGGCTGTACTGTTTCTGGCCGGTGCTGCCATGATAAACATTCTTGTATGGTACCCTTTTTCATTTTGTCCCACGCAACCCCATATCCGCCCTCTCCCCCTTTCTGTCGTTCCCTCGTTCCCTCCTCACTTCTACAGCACACGAGTGGCATTCATGGCGTGCTGGGTCAGACCTTCGGAGCCGAGGAATCCCGCAAGGTGCGCTCGCTGCGGTACCGCCTGCTGACCCGCCTGCTGCGCGAGCCGGTGGAGGTGGAGAGCGAGAGTGGCAGGGGATTCCTGGATGGGCGCACGGAGGACTATATCACCTCGGATATTCACTCCGCGGATTGCATGTACGCCGCTGCGTGGCGAAGGGGGGAACACGAGAGCAGTGAAGGAAGCGATTTTATGTGATAAGAAATTGTGCTGTGGAGTTCATTTGGGGGTGGTTCTAGGAATTTAAGTTACCTTGTACAAAGGTCAGGTATGCACGGAAAGCTGATTCAGCTTGTATGGAGCCATATGGAGTTCTGTCAAGTGTATCTTGTGTTGTTATAAGTCGGTGAGGGCCGTGCCCGGCTGGTATAAATTGCCCTTGGCGCCTTGCATTCTTGGAGCGAGATTTGGACAAGTGATGAGAGGGAGAATGGAGAAGAGAGAGAACGTAGCTTGGGAAGACGAGGTGGGTGACGGAGAAGAGGGGGTTTAGGAGACGAGTAATCTTAATACAGTTGATTATGCTGAGCACTATATGACGGAGGAGAGAAGCGTAAAGGAAGACGGAAGGTCCTGCAGGCTCTTGCATGAATTAGAATCTCACGAAGTGAAAACAGCTGAATGAGTCAGATTGATTGGGTTGGGGTATAAATGTCTAACCATAACTGTTTGTACCCCATATAGCATAACCCACTAGAGGCTATAACATTTGACAAACCCCCATAGCCTAAGTGGGGAATGCCAAGCAACAAAACACAACCTAAGGTCACAAGACCAGTCACAAGCAAGAGAGCAAACAGAGCTCAGGGTGGATCACAACGTCACCACACAGTCTGAGCACAAACAAGAGGCCACAAGGCCAGTTCAAGAGAGTACAAGCTAATATATATAGTACAAACAAACAAGAGGCAAGAACTCACTACTGCAGTCTACCCAGTCTCAACGAGGCCTAACTGCAGACAAAACCGGCGGTGGTCACAAGGCTGAAGGGCCTTGGTGAAGATGTCTGCAGTGTTGGCCTCGGAGGCCACGAAGTCCAGACGTGCCTGACCGCGTCTCTGCAACTCTCGAAGGAGGAAGTACCTGACGTCGATGTGCTTCACTCTGCTCTCCAGTCGAGGCTCACGACACAGGAGAATCATCGCCTTGTTGTCAGCAAACAAGGTCGGTGCAGAGCTCGGCCGCTCACCAAGGTCAGTGAGCAAGAAGGTCAACTAGCGCAGCTCCGGTGCAGCAAGAGCTCCAGCGTAGATCTCGGCCTCTGCGGTAGAAGTCGCAACAGAGGAGGACCGAGTAGACCTCCACGAAACAGCTCCAGAGCCCAGGCTGAAAATGTAACCCTGCGTAGACCTCTGAGTCTCAACGTCGTCGGCGTACGAGGAGTCGCAGTGACTGGTGAGTACAACTGGCTGTGTCCCTCCAAGTACAAGCCCCATGTCCAATGGTTTGGCGAGGTACTTTGCCACCCTCTTAGCCGCCGTCCAGTGAACAGGACGGTGTCTCCCAGTCGCAACAAAGCAAGAAAGGATGTTAAGAGGGAAGCGAGGTCCGGGCGAGTGCACGTCATCAGGTACATGAGGCAGCCCACCAGCTTCGCGTAGGGATCACTGGGCTCGAACGGCTCGTCAGGAAAAGCAACGAACCTAGGAATTCTAGCAAAAGCAAGCAAAATAAAACAAAGCTAAGCTAGATAATGCGTAATAAAGTAAAGGCAAGCTAGCAAAGCCAGCATAAGCCGTCGTACTCTCACACGTCCCCCCCTCAAAGCTGGGTGGCGTGAGATACACCCTGCTTGACAAGATAGTCCTTGAGAGCACGGCGTGCGTTGCCCATATCAGCTTATGCAACCCAACTGTCCTCAGTGGGGTCGTATCCCTTCCAGCGTATCAGGAACTCGAGGGTCTTGCCGCCGCGGCGCCGATGAGTGAGAACACGCTCGATCTCGTACTCTGGTTCATCCTGCACAAGAACAGATGGTGTTGGCGGTAGCTGCCGTCCCTGGAACTGTTGGTTGGGGTCCTTGTAGGGCTTCAGTAGCTGAACATGGAAAGCGTTGTGAAGCTTCCACGTATCTGGTAAGCGCAAGCGGAATGTAACTGGTGTCACCTATGCTTCCACAAAAAATGGACCACAGAAGCAAGGCCGGAGTTTGGATGGTAGGTGAGACAGGTTCAAGTTGAACGTGTCAAGAAGCACCTGATCTCCGACTGCTACTGAGTGATCTCGTCGCTGACGATCGGCATACTGCTTCTGGGAGTTCTGCATCGTGGTGAGACGTCGCTGAGTCTTCTCCCATAGCTGCTGCATGGTGGTGACGAAGTCGTGTGCGGCTTGGACGTGTGCTTGTGTGTTTGGCTGCTGTTGTGTGAGTGATTCACGTCCGTAACACAGAAAGAAAGGAGTTTTTCCTATGGCCGCATGCGAGGCGTTGTTGTAAGCGAACTCTAAGGTCGGTAACTGTGTGTCCTAGTGGCTGATGTCGTCTTTGCAAGCTGTGCGCAGTAACTGTTCAACCACCTGATTGAGTCACTCTGTCTGTCCGTCAGTCTTGGAATGGTATGCGGAAGACATCACAAGCTTAGTCCCCAACATTCCCATGAGCTCCTTCCAGAACTTACTCGTGAATTTTGGGTCTCTGTCTGAGATGAGTGTAGCGGGGATGCCGTGGATGGTGATGATGCGGTCGAAGAAGAGGCGAGCTCTGCTCGTGCTTTCTTCATTTTCCAACACGCCAAGAGTCGATGTCCCGCTGCGCCGCAAAATTCACATTTCTCATATTTTATCGGCCGCTGCTTCGCGTCGAACTTGTTGATATCCATCTGGTCGGCGGTCGTGGATAGTGCCGATCGCTTCGTGTCGAATGATCTGTTCGGCACGTGGCGTCGTGTCTCGGGTTGACCTCGCGTCAGCGCATCGAATCTCTCTGCTGCACACACCATGTCGCGGTAGTTGTTGTAGTTCGCAGCAATCACCTGTCATTGTACTTCTGTTTTTAGCCCCTCATTATACGCTTGAATTTTTTTCCCCTTCAGTCAAGTCGGTAATTCGGTTGAAGAGGCTCTCCATCTGCTGCGTGTACTGTTTATGCCGATGAATCTGCTGCCGCGCCATGTAGCTCAAAGTAATCGGTTCGAAACATTGAATTAAAGCTGCCCGAAACTGCGTCCATGACCCCTCGCCTCAAATCTCCTTACTGTTGTAAATCTACTCGAGTGCCTGGCCTCGCAACAGTGTGGCTGCGAGCCGAATCCGCATTGCATCGTGTGTCGGGGTCGTACAGCCAACGGCCTCGAAGTAAATTTCGAGGGTCGCAATGAATCGACGGACGTCGGTGCGTCGCGCATTCGGATTGAATGTTTCCGGTAGGCTCGGACGTGCCGCCTCAAGATTCACTGTGGCTGCTGCTTGGTGAAGTGTCGGTGTCGCCGCTGCTGCTGCTGCCGTCGCTGCTGCATTCGCTGCTACGACTACTGCTGCCGTGGCGGCTGCCGACTGGTTCGCAAAAAGCTCCTCTACTCGCTGGAGCGCCGCTCGCATCTGGTCCAGGTCGGTGCGTAACTCCGTAATTTTTCGTACGGAATTATCACCGTTTTCCTCCATTTGGCGATTTACAGGAAGATTTGCGACAGAAATAATTGAAAACTAGGCGCTGGTCAACTTACTGCGAATCGAATCGACTGTAGAAATGTCGAGCGCTGTTTCTACAAGTCGCGTAATTCTCGCTTAGCCGAAATTCGTGTCAGATCTCGGCCGTTGAGCTGAAATTCGATCCGACGCCCCAAATTCCAACTTTTATAGGCGAAATTTCTAGGGCCGTTGATGTTCGAATCGATCCGACGGCTGAAATTCCAACCTTTTTTACCAATGGACCTGAGGAGTGTTCGAAAACCGGTTCGAGTGGGGCGTTAAAAAATAGCGCGACATCGGCGCTTTCGTCGTCGCCCTCGCGGTTTTAAAAGCTAGGTTTTAGCGGTCGAAAAACTCGCGTGTAAACAGGCTCTGATTACCAAGTGTGAGGATCGAGGATCGAGTTCAGGAAAGAAGTTCTGAATTGAATGAACAACTGGGTACAACACGAGGCTACATATAGGCTCGACACAAGGCCCTGTTACGTGAAGGTTCCGAGGGACGCGAAGCGTCCCGAACAGGCCCTTCCGTAATTCGGTAGAAGGCAATTTGGTGGCAACCGAAAAGCCTAGAATTCGGTGCACTCAACCTAGTTCAGTGCCTATAACTATAATAAATATAGTAAAAGCAACGAACCTAGGAAATCTAGCAAAAGCAAGCAAAATAAAACAAAGCTAAGCTAGATAATGCATAATAAAGTAAAGGCAAGCTAGCAAAGCCAGCATAAGCCGTCGTACTCTCACACGTAGTCAAGGCGACGCGTAAAAGTAAAGTCAGTGGCAGCGGCAGTGAGGAACGCAATGGAGGAAGGAGAGGCACGAGGGTCTGTAACAAGAGAGGCGAGAACACGAGAGAGAGTGGGGCGGTACGTGCGGTAGTAGTCAGAGACCGGAGTGGACAGGGAGGCAGTGAGGGACGACTCAGGAGGACGAGGAAGAACAGACGGAGGAGGACGAGGAGGACTAGGACGAAACAACACGGTACGGAGGTCAGTGACAGGTGACGAGGGACGAGCACGAGGAGGACGAGAGGCCCAAGTGTGGGCGAGAGGAGAGGGAGACGGAGGAGACTGAGAATGGGGGAACACAGTCGGAGCTGAGTCCGGAAGAGGAAACGTAGGACCGAACACAGGAGGAGAGGAGGGGAGACCAAGGGTCCGAAGGCCAGAAACAGGGGCCGGAGACTGCTCCGGCTGCTGCTGCTGCTGCTGCTGCTGCTGCTCCCGCTGCAACTCCAACCTCTCACGCTCCACCCGCTGCTGAACCTCCAACCTCTCACGCTCCAAACGCTGCTGCTCCTCACGCTCAAGACGAAGAAGGGCCTGGTAACGAGTCGGGTAGGGGTGAGGAGGAGGAGTGGTGTCAGGAGACGTAGCCGAAGAAGAACCGGCTCCGCCCTCGACAGTAGCCGGTTGAGCACCCCCAGAGTGAGTACCCCCTGCGGCAGCACGACCAGCACCTGTAGGAGGTGTACTCGCATCCCCAGTTGTGGTGCCTCCAGTGGCACCAGCACCAGCCCCAGACTCTCCAGCTCCAGAAACACCACCAGCTCCAGCACCACCACCAGCTCCAGCACCCTCGGAACGGGCAGCTGCGGCAGGTGCACGCTCAGCGCCAACGCCAACACCCCCAGAACGGGCGGCTCCTGTAGGTGCACGAACAGCTCCAACGCCAGCACCCCCAGAGCAAGCACTGCCAGAGCCCGCACCTCGAGCATCAACACCTTCAGAGTCCGCAGTGGCCGGTAAAGGAAGCGCTGACAGTTGCTGCGGAGGCTGTGAGGACGACTGTGGGGAAGGAGGAGAGACCTGGGGGGGTACCGAGGGGGGGGGAGTAGCGTGGGACACACCAGACGGAGCGGGAACAG